AATCCATGCAGAACCTTCCGGAACTGTCACACTCGCTGCTCTGCTGCATTTCAATTTCCTCTCACACACACACTCCATATTAAACAGCTAAGCACCTGTTAACCAGGCACAGAGTTAATTGCAGTGTGTGTGTGTGTGTGTGTGTGTGTGTGTGTGTGTGTGTGTGTGTGTGTGTGTGTGTGTGTGTGTGTGTGTGTGTGTGTGTGTGTGTGTGTGTGTGTGTGTGTGTGTGTGTGTGTGTGTGTGTGTGTGTGTGTGTGTGTGTGTGTGTGTGTGTGTGTGTGTGTGTGTGTGTGTGTGTGTGTGTGTGTGTGTGTGTGTGTGTGTGTGTGTGTGTCGTATCGACAGAAGCAGGATTGATCAGCGATATCTCGCGGCTGCTGAGCTGATCAGTGTGTGATTGAAGAGGCTTTGAACGCCACATTTATAATTCTCTCAGCCACCTTGATAAAGCGCTCTGATAAACACAGAGGAAGCTTTCAATCAATCAATTACATTTGATTTATATAGCAACATATCACAGATTATACATTTGTCTCTGGGCTTTGCAGTGTGTACTGTACAGACACACTCTGTCCTTAGACCCTCGAGGGAAACACTCCCCAAGAAACCCCACAGTTTAAGTTTTAGAAACCTCAAGGAGAGTAACAAAGGATAAATGTGTGTATAGACTAAAACACATAATAAAAGTACCTCATAGACAATTTAAATGCCAAAAGATTATGTAAAGGTATGTTTGAAAACGATAAATCCAAGAAAGTGTCAAATATCCTGGGTGCCGCCAAAATGTAATGAAGTGGGCGTCAGGCAGGACCACGACTCTTGATGCAGACTTAAAACTGTCAACCTGCAGGAGTTATTAAGTTATTAAGATGCATTTATGGGACAGAGATCATACAGAAGGAGAAAGAGAAGTGAAATGATGAAGGTCTCCTGAAAGTCTTTAGCCTATAGCAGCATAACCATAGGCGGAGTTTGACATTTGCGCTTGGGGGGGGGAAACATTTTGTACTGACGTCAGTACACAGTCCCAACTATTGCGTGGGGTCACGGATACAGTAGCAATAAAGTCAGCGTTCACCGCACTGAATATGACTTTTCCACATACGAACACAACTCGTCCCCTCATGCACGCCTCATGCCCGCCTCATGCCCGCCGTACACACACACTCATATGGAAGGGGCGGTCTCTCCCCCCAACAACAGTGCATATCATAACTGTAAAACTTATCATAACTGTGCACATCTTATACTTATTTGATAACTACTACATCCCTTGGTTACTTGAACACGCTACAATATTATTAACCAGTGTCCTACCTTATTAAAATATTGATATACGAAATATTTGTATTGGAACAGTTTTAAACGTAGTAATGCTGTAATATATTTCAGCCACTAGGGGGCGGAAATGCCCCCCTATGCATAACTAGAGGAAACTCCCAGGGATTTTAGCTTTTGCAGACCATTTACATGCACTAAAACCTATATACCACACTACAGGAGAGGGAAAACCCCAAAAAGCAGGATAGGGCCTCTTTAAGACTATAGCAGGTTAATTAAGGGCTGGTTCAAGGTAAGCCTGAGCCAGCCCTAAATATAAGCTTTATGAAAAATAAAAGGCTTTGTTGTTTGAACAATTTTACGTTTTCTTAATAGTTTTTTGGAACAGCTGTGAACACTTATCCATAGGTCCTATAGTGTGTGTGTGTGTGTGTGTGTGTGTGTGTGTGTGTGTGTGTGTGTGTGTGTGTGTGTGTGTGTGTGTGTGTGTGTGTGTGTGTGTGTGTGTGTGTGTGTGTGTGTGTGTGTGTGTGTGTGTGTGTGTGTGTGTGTGTGTGTGTGTGTGTGTGTGTGTGTGTGTGTGTGTGTGTGTGTGTGTGTGTGTGTGTGTGTGTGTGTGTGTGTGTGTGTGTGTGTGTGTGTGTGTGTGTGTGTGTGATGGATGGTGTGTCCGTGGTGTTGATCAGTGTAGCTCAGGTCAGGTAGATGAGTGTTTTCTCACCACTGTGGCCAGTTTAGCCTGATGGATGAAGGACATATCTGCCAGTACACCACACAGGACACACACATGTTGTGAGCGCATTACACACACACACACACACACACACACACACACACACACACACACATGAGAACCCTTGGTACCCCTAGCTTGTGGTGATGACAGAGTAGCCTGTGACCTTCCCAGCATGCATTGCGGCGCTGTTGATGTCATGTCGTTTACAGGACTCACATTAATCATTTGTTTGTTTATCGCCCGTGTGTTTCTCTCCAAAAGGTGTGTGTGTGTGTGTGTGTGTGTGTGTGTGTGTGTGTGTGTGTGTGTGTGTGTGTGTGTGTGTGTGTGTGTGTGTGTGTGTGTGTGTGTGTGTGTGTGTGTGTGTGTGTGTGTGTGTGTGTGTGTGTGTGTGTGTGTGTGTGTGTGTGTGTTCACATGTGAGCTTATTCTGTGCATATTATTATTGTACATTTGTAATTCAACATGTATATTTTCTACTTTTTTTAATTCTATTTTATTTCTATTTACATTTTAGAATGTTTAGTTCTAGTCTTTAAAATGTGTTTGTCTTGTTATGCTGCTGCAATGCAAACATTTCCCAAATTGGGATCAATAAAGTACTTCTTATCTTATCTTAAGATATGTACATGTATGTCTGTATCTAGCCAATAAACACAGGAGAAAAGAGTAGATGTGTGTGAGGATGTGTCGGCCAATGACTGATGAGCTGGCCTATTGATTAGTTGCCGCGGAGACGGATGGCGGCCACACATCAGGGACACTCGGGGTCACCGTGGCGATCAGACGAGGAAGTGGGTGTGGCTCGGGACTCATGAATAAACATGGCGGCGGCGCTGGTAATCAGGAGTATGTAAATGAATGTGCTCATACATAACCGGGCCGGGATAAAAAGAGTAATGAGTTATTCATAATTCATCTCAGGAGGGGGAGAGGGAGGGAGGGAAAGCGTGGAGATGAAAAGCTGAAGAAAGGGAAGTACGGAGGTTCATTACAGAACAAACGGCAGAGTAAACTTTGTTTGTGAATCCTCAGAGCAAACAGGAAAGTGTCCACATGGTGTGTGTCATCAAATAAACACTCGGCGCTCTTATTGTTTCTATAACAGCAGGGATTATAACAACATATGAGCCGCTGTACGACAAACTAGCATGGATTTGATCATCTGTGGGTGCTACTATACATTCCTTTTTACCTTTTCTCACCCTCTTTATGTCACTGCTCAGTATGACAGGCTTACAGTTGGGAAATCCTGAATGTCCTCTTCCAACATGAGAGTCACATGATAACAAAGGTATCAACTGTAGCTGTGAACATGACAGGATGTGTGATTACCTAGAAGAGCATCAGGACTGTTTGAGGCAGATGATAGCTATGTGATTAACATGATGATTCAGCCTCTATGGAGAGAGACATCAAGCATGCTCATTTCTGACGTGGAGCTAATCTGAAGTCAACATTGAATACTGCTTTCTACTCCTCCATCTTGTGACTGTGTAACTCCCTCTCTTGGATATCAGCATGTGAAGGACACTGTTCAGGAACTAGTTGATGCTCTGTATGTGATGACTACTTCCATTCTGGAGAGGATCACAGATACATGGATCCTGAGGTTCAAGCTCAAGCCGGGGACCAGAGAGATTGTTCTAAAAGGGGAGAAGGACGATTCAAGTCACAGACTTCAATAGTGTCGTCTGACCAACATGGCCAAAAACAAGCTTTTCTTCTAAGTTCTACCTTGACGTCACTGCCGTTTTTCTGAAATATTTTTCACTCGAAGCGCTCAGAAGAAAAGACGCTGGGCGCTATGTTGATGCCGTCACCCCAGAAAACTGGGAGTGTTTATGGGTCGGTTTGGAATTGGGCCTATGACAGTGTTAAGGTCACATGCTCATCACACAACGAAGCATCATCATGAGTGTTAAAGCTGGAGACAGGAAGTGGGGATTTGGCCGTGTGTGTGTGTGTGTGTGTGTGTGTGTGTGTGTGTGTGTGTGTGTGTGTGTGTGTGTGTGTGTGTGTGTGTGTGTGTGTGTGTGTGTGTGTGTGTGTGTGTGTGTGTGTGTGTGGTGTGTGTGTGTGTGTGTGTGTGTGTGTGTGTGTGTGTGTGTGTGGTGTGTGTGTGTGTGTGTGTGTGTGTGTGTGTGTGTGTGTGTGTGTGTGTGTGTGTGTGTGTGTGTGTGTGTGTGTGTGTGTGTGTGTGTGTGTGTGTGTGTGTGTGTGTGTGTGTGTGTGTGTGTGTGTGTGTGGCACGCAGGTTCCTGTCAGACAATAGAGCTCCAAATTCAATTAATGTGAATGGCCGGCGTCGGGTGAGAGGGAGGGGAAGGCGTAAAGCTCTAAATGAGATTTCACCCCTTCACCCAACACTGTCCTGTCCCCAATGCCAGGAGGTGATTAGAGACACAGATATAATCAGAAGTGTGTGTGTGTTGTGTTCCCCAGAGATGTGGCGCGTGCTGCTCGTGTGTGAGACAGTCGGTGTGTGTGTGTTGATGATGATATGATCTAGAGAGCTTTTGCTCTCGTGGGTCCTCACACACTTCACACATAAAACTCCTGATCTGACAAAAAAGGCAGTTAAAGGGGCGTTCTATCCAAATGATCTACTACACATACTGTTACCTTTATTCTTCTTTGGGACTTGTTCTCGAGTGGAAATGAGATTCAGAGTAAACTTTTCACAGAGATGTTTTTTTATAGATTTGGCTTTGAAGGATGTGAACAATGTTGTGTCTTCAGAGTCCGAAAAACTCTTTAGATTCTGGATAACATAAGAAAAAGACTAGAGACAAGAGCTGCTCTGACTGACCTGCTTTTATTGCAATTACATCTCATTTCTTAATGTCTTAGGTAGTCACAGATCTTACATAACTTTCCTGTTGGTAATATGCTGTTTTGCTTTCTGCAGCCGGTGTTTTTACCATGGTCTCGAACTTTCCTGGGAATTAATCTCTCTGTTTCTGTGTCTCTCTTTCAGGGAAGAGGATAAAAACATCTTCGACTACTGCAGAGAAAACAACATCGACCACATCAGCGAGGCCATCGTCTCGCAGAAAGTGGAAGTCAACACTAAAGACGAAGAGGTAACAACAACCAGAACTGTGTCAACAGCTTCCTGCTGTAGGGTTTGATAACTTCCTATTGGAGGGTTTGATAACTTCCTGCTGGAGGGTTTAATAACTTCCTGTTGGAGGGTTTGATAACTTCCTATTGGAGGGTTTGATAACTTCCTATTGGAGGGTTTGATAACTTCCTATTGGAGGGTTTGATAACTACCTATTGTAGGGTTTGATAACTACCTATTGTAGGGTTTGATATCTTCCTATTGGAGGGTTTGATAACTACCTATTGTAGGGTTTGATGACTACCTATTGGAGGGTTTGATAACTACCTGTTGGAGGGTTTGATAACTACCTATTGGAGGGTTTGATAACTACCTATTGGAGGGTTTGATGACTACCTATTGGAGGGTTTGATAACTACCTATTGGAGGGTTTGATAACTACCTGTTGGAGGGTTTGATGACTACCTATTGGAGGGTTTGATAACTACCTATTGGAGGGTTTGATGACTACCTATTGGAGGGTTTGATGACTACCTATTGGAGGGTTTGATAACTACCTATTGGAGGGTTTGATAACTACCTATTGGAGGGTTTGATAACTACCTGTTGGAGGGTTTGATGACTACCTGTTGGAGGGTTTGAGGACTACCTATTGGAGGGTTTAATACCTTCCTATTGGAGGGTTTGATAACTTCCTATTGGAGGGTTTGATAACTTCCTATTGGAGGGTTTGATAACTTCCTATTGGAGGGTTTGATAACTTCCTATTGGAGGGTTTAATAACTTCCTATTGGATGGTTTGATACCTTCCTATTGGAGGGTTTAATAACTTCCTATTGGAGGGTTTGATACCTTGCTATTGGAGGGTTTAATAGCTTCCTGTTGGAGGGTTTGATAGCTTCCTATTGGAGGGTTTAATAACTTCCTATTGGAGGGTTTGATACCTTGCTATTGGAGGGTTTAATAGCTTCCTATTGGAGGGTTTGATAGCTTCCTATTGGAGGGTTTAATATCCACCAGCCTCAGTGTTACTGTTATGGCTCTGACCGAGGGGGCAGAGGGCAGTTTGAAATGATCCGTGCAGTATGATGGAAACACACAGAGGTCACTGGGGGACGGTTCATGCAATGGTTACATAATGGTTTGATGTGAAACCACCAACACATGGGAGCCTCTCCTCAGGCGCAGGGGAGTAAATTGTGTGAACAGCCATAACCCTCGTGAGGTGTTTTCTGGATTGACCCCTGAATCCATTCATCTGTTCCCCGATTCATTATCGGCCGGGCCAAATGGTCCCGGCCTCCCTTTGATCAGCGAGCAGCCAGAGGCCAGATGGTGGAGCGTCTCTGCAGAGAGAGCTTTGTCTCTGAGGCCATTGTTGTTGTTGCTCCTGCAGCGAGGCGCGCTCAGCAGCAGAGGGCAGTGGTGAAGTTTGACTTTAACAAGAAGAGAGAGAGGAGCTCACTGTTTGGGTGCGAGGCCACATTTAAACCAATCACTCAATGTATTTATAGAGCATGTTTCATACACAAAAGGTAACAAAAAGTGCAAAGAAAAACTAACCCCTTTCTCGAGCAGCACAATAAGTAGAAATGGTATCGTACTCTTAATATAGACTAATGCAAGAACAGTATTTGTTAAACGCTAAATATGTGGTAAAACAGGATGTTGTGGGGCTGCGAAGATATCTTGGTTTACAAATTGGTGTTCTATCAAAATCGTTATATGAGAATAGAAATCGTCTTCATTGATGGAAATCGTAATATTGCCTAATATATTTATTTTCCTGGTTTTTTTAGAGGCTGCTTTACGGTAAAGTGTGATGTAACTTTATTACCTTAAAGGTGGGGTAGGTAGTTCACTTCAGAAACACTTGTTATATATTCCATGGAATGCTCTTAACATCCTGATAGCAATGAATATATGAAATGCTTTGACAATAAATACATTAAAAAATTTCATCTGTGGAAGCCGTGGCGCTGTGAAAAGCACGACCAATCATCTGAGCCGGCTAAAGTAACTGGATGGCCTACCTGCCTGTCAGCCTTCCATCTGTGCACAAACTTATCTCGTGCCCTCATTGGTCATGTGCGCGTTCATGTGTGTTGGAGGAGGGGCTCTGGAAGGAAGTCTGAAGGAAGGGGCAGATTTTTTTCGGCTGCCTACTTTCAAATTCTAGCGCACTCGAGCTGGTTTCTCCATTCTTACCTACCCTACCTTTAAGAGACGTTTAACTTTTTTATTATTGTACATAGTCCATTAATCCACATGACTCATAGCTATCTATCAAAACCGTACAATATTGAGGTATTTGTTAAAGAATATCCTGATATAAGATGTTCTTAATATCGCCGGCCTTTTTAATCCAGGAAACCATAAAAGGAGTTCAATTGTTTCATTAACATATCTTAGAATATACAGAAGAACACGATCATAACAGGAAATGTCCCTCAGAAAAATATCCCAGCATGCTTTCCTTAGATGCAATTCCTGTACATGTGTGACGAGTTTTATAAAAAAAGGACAACGTTTCTTATTCAAGTCATAAAATTGTTAAGACGGTCTGACAAGATTTTATTATGTGGATATAAATGAAATATTTGTTCTGCTTGCCAAAAGAGAGGACACAGATGTTGACCTCAAATAAAACCTGTTAATGAACATTTCTAAATTTGGTTCAATGTCAGTCATAGTTTTACGTTGCTATCGTTCACTCTGGAAAACAGTCGTCGTCTGGATCTTAAGTTAACAAAGAAACAAGCTGAGATACTGTATGGCTACGAGCTAAATGCTAACACGTGCCTCTCACTGCTGTAGTTCCTTTATCGCCCAACATTAGCCGCCTTTAGCTTAGCGGTGGTGACGTGAAGTCATGTGACCGTGCTGTAGTTCCTTTATAGCCCAACATTAGCCACCTTTAGCTTAGCGGTGGTGACGTGAAGTCATGTGACCGTGCTGTAGTTCCTTTATAGCCCAACATTAGCCGCCTTTAGCTTAGAAGTGGTGACGTGAAGTCATGTGACCGTGCTGTAGTTCCTTTAAAGCCCAACATTAGCCGCCTTTAGCTTAGCGGTGGTGACGTGAAGTCATGTGACTGTGCTGTAGTTCCTTTAAAGCCCAACATTAGCCTCCTTTAGCTTAGCGGTGGTGCCGTGAAGTCATGTGACCGTGCTGTAGTTCCTTTATAGCCCAACATTAGCCTCCTTTAGCTTAGCGGTGGTGACGTGAAGTCATGTGACCGTGCTGTAGTTCCTTTATAGCCCAACATTAGCCTCCTTTAGCTTAGCGGTGGTGACGTGAAGTCATGTGACCGTGTTGTAGTTCCTTTATAGCCCAACATTAGCCTCCTTTAGCTTAGCGGTGGTGACGTGAAGTCATGTGACCGTGCTGTAGTTCCTTTATAGCCCAACATTAGCCTCCTTTAGCTTAGCGGTGGTGACGTGAAGTCATGTGACCGTGCTGTAGTTCCTTTATAGCCCAACATTAGCCTCCTTTAGCTTAGCGGTGGTGACGTGAAGTCATGTGACCGTGCTGTAGTTCCTTTATAGCCCAACATTAGCCTCCTTTAGCTTAGCGGTGGTGCCGTGAAGTCATGTGACCGTGCTGTAGTTCCTTTATAGCCCAACATTAGCCTCCTTTAGCTTAGCGGTGGTGACGTGAAGTCATGTGACCGTGCTGTAGTTCCTTTATAGCCCAACATTAGCCACCTTTAGCTTAGCGGTGGTGACGTGAAGTCATGTGACCGTGCTGTAGTTCCTTTATAGCCCAACATTAGCCTCCTTTAGCTTAGCGGTGGTGACGTGAAGTCATGTGACCGTGCTGTAGTTCCTTTATAGCCCAACATTAGCCTCCTTTAGCTTAGCGGTGGTGACGTGAAGTCATGTGACCGTGCTGTAGTTCCTTTATAGCCCAGCATTAGCCGCCTTTAGCTTAGCGGTGGTGACGTGAAGTCATGTGACCGTGCTGTAGTTCCTTTATAGCCCAGCATTAGCCGCCTTTAGCTTAGCGGTGGTGACGTGAAGTCATGTGACCGTGCTGTAGTTCCTTTATAGCCCAACATTAGCTTTCTCTTCAGAAATCACAGAGTAGTGTTAATATGTGGAGATTATCCTGCTAAACAAAATGTGTAAGAATCCTAATGGGATTGTATTCCTTTAGCTAACAACTGCTAAACCTTCCATACAGCAAGACTTCTGAACTCTTCAGTAGAGGAGAATAAAGATGTTTACTTATCTACCCTCTTAAATAAAGAGTGCTTAACATTAACTTCCTTCCTAACAGACCTCTCTTAATGTCAGTGTTTCTGTTAAGGTTGTGTTCTCCGCTCTGAACGCTGCTCTCATTCTGTTTGACACTTCTAATGTTTTATTAATCACTGCAACTCCACTAAAAAAAACACACTTTATTTGTCTGTGTGCAGCATCCTTTTGGAGGTAGTAAACTCTGCTTTCAGTAAAAGCACCTGGAAGAGGAGAGAGGGAGAGGGAGAGAGGGAGAGAGGGAGAGAGGGAGAGAGGGAGAGAGGGAGAGAGGGAGAGAGGGAGAGAGGGAGAGAGGGGGAGGAACTTATTGGTATTCTGGCCCGGCTCGTACGTCTCCATTTTAACATGCAGCCGCGGTGATCAATATGATTTAAGCAACAGAATTGAACTTGGAGAGTTTGCTTTACCTAATTGGCCTCACTGAAAAATGAGCTTGCGTGGTTTTATTAGAACAAGGATCTTGGACTTAAGGAGAGGATTGTGTGTGTGTAGTGTGTGTGTGTGTAGTATGTGTGTGAGATAGAGTCGGGGGGTTTCTGATCCTGTCCTGTGCACAATGTCTCATCAATCACAAACTGCAGGTTACTTTGTCTTTAACCCACTGAAGTTTGTGTTTCTGCTCATCTTTGCACACATATGTAAAGACACACACACACACACACACACACACACACACACACACACACACACACACACACACACACACACACACACACACACACACACACACACACCACAGCTCTGATTATGTGGTGGATTTGAGGCCAGGTGAAGGGGGGATGGTTGACTTCCCAACGTTTTTTTACTTTTTTACTTTTTCTTGTGAGAACTGGGCATCAGAGCATTTAATAAAATAAAAGTATATGTTTTAAGACACCTCAGGTTTCTACAGGTTAAAAACAAGTCCACCTTCAGAGGTGTATGTTTTCATCAGGACAAAAACAAGTCTGGACAACAATTCACACTTTCTCTGGAAATAAAGTGGCAAATGAGACATGTAATGTGTGTGTGTGTGTTTGCAGGGCCGGGCTCTCCTGCACTGGGCCTGTGATCGAGGACACAAGGATCTGGTTTCTGTTTTACTGCAGCACAAAGCGGACATCAACAGTCAGGTGAGCAGCATCTTAATGTCTCTTTAAAGGGAAAAACAACTGCTAAATGAATGAGTGAAAGCCAAACGAGCCCTTCTGATCAGAATTATTTGACGACGTCTTATACAGAGAACAGAAGTCAAGCTCCTTATATCTGGGTTTCCATAAGTGGCCGTTTTGAGTGCCCTAAAACGTAAAAATCAACCCAACATTCATCAAATCAGCGCATCGGGACACTTTCTGGTTAAAACTGCAATTGTTGATCCTGATACGGTCAGAAATGGATTCAACATCTTCAATAATCTCCAAATGTTCCAAATCTTATACGGAGACGTGCTAAGTAATGCAATTTATGCTAATTGTGCAAATAGCCCAACATATGCAGGTTAGCATCCGGCTGCTTCTATGAGCTGGGGACCCGTACCATACATGCATATCATAAAACGTTGGGGTTCTCAACATTTCCAGTTTCACAACATGACTCTATGAGCTGGTAAACAGAGTATATTGTTTGTATTCAGTTTGAGGAGTCAGTAGGAGGATAGACGGAGAATCTCTGGAGCTTTCCTCACAACACCGCTCTCTCCACACACACACACACACACACACACACACACACACACACACACACACACACACACACACACACACACACACACACACACACACACACACACACACACACACACACACACACACACACACACCACACACACACACACACTCCAAGCAAAGCAGATCTCCAGCCTCCCTGCTCCTCTTCCTCCCTCCATCCCTTGCAGAAGGTCACCTTTAATTCACTTTGTGCCACAGACAAATCCCCGGGGCTTTAGCAGACAGAGTTAGCCGGTAGCTAGCCCAGTGTTTAGCCTCCCGGAGGTTTAGCAGCGTCCAGGAGGCTTTAGCTTTGGCGGTAATCTGGCTCAGCAGCACATCGGAGAAATTACTCCTCTTCCCGGCGCTGCACGACACAATGCAGCTCACCGGCCTTTAACCGTGAGGCCAGATCAATTGGAAGTAATCAGGCAAATTGTTTCACGTTGCACAACCCACATAATCAGGACATTTCACAAATGACTTTCTCTTTTTGTTTCTCAGATCGAGGGGAGGGGGTCTGTGCAGAATGGTTCATAAAAGACTTAACAGTGGGATAACTGGGAAAAAACACTCCACTAATGATTTATCCAGATAATGACAGCAGCGCGGGGAGAGATGTACAGATGGAAGCTTCTCAGTGCTTTTGTGAGATGTATTTACAGTCATGTAAGGAATATAAACTCATATCTTAATGTGTTTCAGCAGGTGGGGATATTATGTGGACTTTTGAAAGCTTTTCGTAACACAGAGTGAAATAATCCATCCATCCATCTTCTTCCGCTTATCCGTGGTCGGGTCGCGGGGGTAGCAGTTCCAGCAGAGAGCCCCAAACTTTCTTTTCCCTGGCGACATCAACCAGCTCTGACTGGGGGATCCCAAGGCGCTCCCAGGCCAGCGAAGAGATATAATCCCTCCACCTGATCCTAGGTCTACCCCTTGGTCTCTTCCCAGCTGGACGTGCCTGGAACACCTCCCTAGGGAGGCGCCCAGGTGGCATCCTAACTAGGTGCCCGAACCACCTCAACTGGCTCCTTTCGACGCGAAGGAGGAGCGGCTCAACTCCGAGTCCCTCCCTGATGACCGAACTTCTCACCTTATCCCTAAGGGAGACACCAGCCACCCTGCGGAGAAAACCCATCTCGGCCGCTTGTATCCGCGATCTCGTTCTTTCGGTCATGACCCATCCTTCATGACCATAGGTGAGGGTAGGAACGAAAATGGCCCGGTAGTCAGAGAGCTTTGCCTTCTGGCTCAGCTCCCTTTTCGTCACAACGGTGCGGTAAAGCGACTGCAGTACCGCTCCCGCTGCTCCGATTCTCCGGCCCATCTCACGCTCCATTGTTCCCTCACTCGAGAACAAGACCCCGAGATACTTGAACTCCTTCACTTGGGGTAAGGACTCATTCCCTACTTGAAGTGGACAGTCCATCGGTTTCCTGCTGAGAACCATGGCCTCAGATTTGGAGGTGCTGATCCTCATCCCAGCCGCTTCACACTCGGTTGCGAACCGATCCAGTGAGTGCTGAACGTCGCAGACCGATGAAGCCATTAGAACCACATCATCTGCAAAAAGCAGTGGTGCAATCCTTAGTCCACCGAACTGCAGACCCCCTCCCCCATGACTACGCCTCGAAATCCGATCCATGTATATTACAAACAGGATTGGTGACAAAGCGCAGCCCTGGCGGAGGCCAACCCTCACCGGAAATGGGTCCGACTTACTGCCGAGGACCCGGACACAGCTCTCGCTTTGGGAGTACAAAGATTGGATGGCCCTGAGTAGAGACCCCCTCACCCCATACTCCCGCAGCACCTCCCACAGTAACTCCCTGGGAACTCGGTCATACGCCTTCTCCAAGTCTACAAAACACATGTAGACCGGATAAGCGTATTCCCAGGCCCCCTCCAGGATCCTTGCGAGAGTAAAAAGCTGATCCGTCGTTCCACGACCAGGACGGAATCCGCATTGTTCCTCCTCAATCTGAGGTTCGACAATCGGCCTGACCCTCCTTTCGAGTACCTTAGAGTAAACTTTCCCGGGGAGGCTGAGTAGTGTGATGCCTCTGTAATTGGCACACACCCTCTGATCCCCCTTTTTAAAAAGGGGGACCACCACCCCGGTCTGCCACTCCTTCGGCACTGTTTCCGACTTCCACGCAACGTTGATGAGACGTGTCAACCATGACAGTCCCTCAACACCCAGAGCCTTCAGCATTTCCGGGCGGATCTCATCCACCCCCGGGGCTTTGCCACTGTGGAGTTGTTTGACGACCTCAGTGACCTCCCCCCGGGAGATTGGTGTTGATCCCCCGTCATACTCCAGCTCTGCCTCTAACATAGAGGGCGGAGTTGTCGGGTTCAGGAGTTCCTCAAAGTGTTCCTTCCAACGCCCTAACACTCCATCAGTTGAGGTCAACAACGTCCCATCCTTACTGTACACAGCTTGGATGGTTCCCTGCTTCCCCCTCCTGAGGTGTCGGACAGTTTTCCAGAACAACTTTGGTGCCGCCCGAAAGTCCTTCTCCATGTCTTCTCCGAACTTCTCCCACACCCGCTGCTTTGCCTCGGCCACGGATGAGGCTGCTGCCCTTCGGGCCTGTCGGTACCTTGCAACTGCCTCGGGAGTCCCCCGGGATAACAAATCCCTGAAGGCCTCCTTCTTCAGTCGGACGGCTTCCCTGACCACCGGTGTCCACCAGGAGGTTCGAGGGTTACCGCCCCTTGAGGCACCTAGGACCTTGAGACCACAGCTCCCCGCCGCGGCTTCGGCAATAGAGGACTTTGAACACCGACCACTCTGGTTCAATGTCCCCAACCTCCACAGGAATGCCCGAAAAGCTCCGCCGGAGGTGTGAGTTGAAGGCCTCCTGAACTTGGGCCTCCTCCAGACGTTCCCAGTTCACCCGAACTACACGTTTGGGCTTACCAGGTCTATCCAGAGGCTTCCCCCGCCACTCGACCCAACTCACCACCAGATGGTGATCAGTTGACAACTCCGCCCCTCTCTTTACCCGAGTGTCCAAAACATACGGCCTCAGGTCCGATGATACGATAACGAAATCGATCATGGACCTTCTGCCTAGGGTGCTCTGGTACCACGTACACTTATGAGCATCCTTATGTTCGAACATGGTGTTTGTTATGGCCAATCCATGACTAGCACAGAAGTCCAGTAACAAACCACCACTCCGGTTCAGATCAGGGGGGCCGTTCCTCCCAATCACGCCCCTCCAAGTGTCTCCATCATTGCCCACATGTGCGTTGAAGTCTCCCAGCAAGATTAAAGAGTCCCCTTCAGGAGCCCCATACAGGACTCTTTCCAGGGTCTCCAAGAAGGCCGTATACTCTGAACTGCTGTTGGGTGCATAAGCACACACAACAGTCAGAGTTTTCCCCCCCATAACCCGCAGGCGTAGGGAGGCGACCCTCTCGTCCACTGGGGTAAACTCCAACAACGAAGCACCTAACCGGGGACTTGTGAGTATCCCCACACCCGCCCGGCGCCTCACACCTTGAGCAACTCCGGAGAAGAATAGAGTCCAACCCCTATCCAGAAGTAAGGTTCCAGAGCCGACGCTGTGCGTAGAGGTGAGCCCAACCAGATCCAACTGGTAACGCTCCACCTCCCGCACAAGCTCCGGCTCCTTCCCCCCCAGAGAGGTGACGTTCCACGTCCCCAAAGCCAGCTTCTGTCGCCCGGGTCTGGTCCGTCGAGACCCTCCGCTTTCACTGCCACCCTTCTGGCAGCGCACCCGACCCCATCGGTGTTTCCCGTAGGTGGTGGGCCCGCGGGACGGAGAAGCGGAGGTGTTGCCCACGTTGCCTTTTCGGGCTGGGCCCGGCCGGGCTCCGTGGCAAGCCCGGCCACCAGACGCTCGCCGACGAGTCCTCCTTCTGGGCCTGGCTCCAGAAGGGGACCCCGGGCTTCCTCCGGGCCGGGTATAATCCAATGAAATAATCCAATGTTCCTTATTACTAAATCACCTGTAATAGACCAATGTGAAAGAGAGGTATCTACAGTATTAAAAACAGAGCAAATGAAGCAAAGAAAGGGAAAACCATGAAGCAGATTCAGGCTTTAGGCGTACAGTTTACAGAGAAGAGATAACAGTTTTACCTGCGGACAATATCGCTTTTATTGAGACCTCTTTACGGATATTTCTAAGGTACAAAAAGTCAGATTTCAGGGGATGAATCTCAGATATTAAATATACAGGAGGGGGCATTTCTCAGCCAATCAGAGCGCAGACATCCTGTATTCAGATCCCTTTCTCCTGCCTGTCTCTCAGGTGTGAGAGGAAGTCAAACATATCAAAAATCTTTATATTTGACAATCGATACACAGCCAAAGTTTAAAGTGTTATCATAATAAAAAAAAGAAAATAAGTTTGTTATTAAACCAATTTTTTGTACCAATCATTTTTTTGTGGATAATTGTATGTTTTATTTAATTATAATCTTCGTAAGTAATTACACGCTTTTTATTAATTCAATATTTTTAGCTTTTTTTAATCTATTATTTGAACGTTCAAGGCAGGGGGGTCAAACTCAATTTAATCTCGGGCCACTTCAGCATTATGGTTGCACTCAAAGGGCCAGTTTTATATATAAGACTATATAAAAATACATATATTTCATATATATAAAATAATGTATTATATTACATTATTGCCTCAGCATTGGAATTGTTATCGGATAGGGTAATAACTTCATAAATAACTACGTCCGAAAGCAGAAGTCTAGGTCTAGTCTCTACTAAAATAAATGTATATTGTGCAGTTTTCCAAACTCACATTGGTTTCTCACAGCATCTCTGTATAGTCTGTGTATTCACTCTCTGTCCTAAACGGTGTGTTGGAGCTCCTGCCCCCCCCTCCCTGTGAGCCCACTGGCCGTCTGCGAGACAGCGAGACACAGCGAAACCCAGCCCGAAACACACACACCCGCAGCCTGGCTGGGAGTTTGTGTGCGTGCCCAGGCTGAGTTCCACGGTGTCTCGTTGTCTCGCCGACCCCACACCAGTGAGCCGGCTCACAGTGTCCCGCTCCTCGCAGCAGCGAGCCTCGCAACGTCCCACCGAGTGTGTGTGTGTGTGAGGAAGTCCACGGATTGGTCCAAACGTAACGGCTCCGCGGACGCAACGTAACGGCTCTGCAGATTGGTCCGTTACGTTACGTCACTATACCCGAAATACGACACTATACCCAAGAAGTAAACAATGGAAAAAGAGAAATGTCCAACGAGGCGTTCTGGGGCAGCAGACAGGTCTTCTCTGTGTTAGAGTTTTACTCGCTACACGGTGTACTTTGAGGGTTTGTGACTCTGCAGACCATTTACATGCAGAACAACCTTCATAACACAAGGGGACGGGTGATAGCCGGAAAAGCACGACATGGGACCTTTAAAAAGAAAAGCCATATTCTGGAGAAAAAGTCAATCAGAAAAAATAAGTGACATTTTGAAAAAAAAAGTCCAATTTGAGATGCATTGTGGGACATGTAGTTTATGGGCAACGTGCTTCTGTAAAGCGGCATGTAACCGTATAATAAACATATTATAATCTTTGCAAGCTCTTATGGGGCCGCATGAAATGAAGTCACGGGCCGGATTTGACCCCCGGGCCTTGAGAACTTCTGTTCCTAGAGAGACCAGTGTCCACAAAAGAAAATATATATATAAATAATCTATATCTGTTAAGTTACTTAATTTGTGAAATATAAATTGTATAAAAAAGTTTCCCTCTGAATTGTTGTAGA